AAACGAGTCGACGATAATAATATGATCGTCATCCGCAGCGCACTTGAATATCGATCGATCTGACTGCCCGTGGCGTATTTATGATTTCGAGCGGAAAAAAAAAAAAAAAAAATAGAAACATGTTACCAAACCACGTGATGAGTTATTACATGGTATGCGCGCCCTGCAGGTAATGTACATTTACATTAAAAGCAATATTTTTATCTTTGGATTTAAAACACGATTGAGGGGGAGGAGGGTTTATCTGCAGCTCAATAACAGTATTACCTACTATATAACCTCAAAACAATTTCGAATACTTAACATTGATGTGGTTATGCACGATTTGGTGTAATACGGGTAACGGGGTAACTATATACGGTATACACTTTATGTGGGTAGATATTGCACAATGTTACCATAAGTAACCATACTAAATACTTTCAACTATGATTTATATTTTATTTTCGAAGAATATAAGGTGGATAGAGATGTGACAAAATGTTTAACTCTCATTGGTACACGATGATAAACTGATATGTAGGTTAGGTAAAATGAATCGTCAATTTGTTTTCAAATCTTAGTGTTTAAAAAATAATAAAGTATAAATATCGGAAGTAAAATTGAGATTACAACTTATTGGATTAATACGCAAGCACCTACACAATAAACATAAAAACAGAGGATTGAGAGGTGATTTAGAGCCAACCTCGTGTAGTGTGACTTGGGTGTACCATAACGCTCACATAGAAATTAAATCGTTTAAAAAGAATATCATATTATAATAGGCTTTAAATTAAACAAGTAACACCCACTAACGCGTGTAATTATTGTATACATGATGTGACCAAATATATTATGGCAAAACGGTTAAATTTGTCACCAATTTATTATAATATTAAATTATTTACGACGTAGATACGATTTTTTTTGCAAGGGTGTTTATACTACATAACTTTAAATCATAGTTTAACTCATAAATAATAAAAAAATATATTTATGATTCAAATTAAACTCTAATGCTGTTATT